GAACTTTACCTTGGCCTTTCTGATAATTTGTCTTAATTTTTTAATTTAAACGATCACGTGTTAAATAAGGATTTACATTTTGTACTGCTGTCGTAAAAGATTTCTTACGTTCACTCACTGAAAATCGGTGTTGGGTTTTAGACTTTAAACAATAATGACAACATTTATAATAATAATAATAATAATAATAATAATAATAATAATAATAATAATACTTATTATTATTATTATTATTATTTTCTCGTACTCACGAATCTTTTCTCGAGTCGGCCCTGCACTTGGATTCGATGTTTTATTCCGTTTTTTTAGTCTCACGACTTCTAATGAGATATCGTTTAAATTGCTGACGTCAGACTCTTTTCTGTGGGGTTTTAAGATCTGAATTGGCAGAGATTGTTGTGATAGATACAATACGAGTCGCCGAGCTGTACGTGAAATATTACGAGTGTATTGGCGAGTCGCAGGCGAGACAATACACGAGTAATTTTCACGTACAGCTCGGCGACGAGTGTTGTATCTGGCTTAAACCACGGCCTGTGATTGGCTACTACACTAGTAGTGCAACAGACCGTGGGGCGCACTCGTACATGACGTGCTTGTATGTCGAATACAGCACGGCCGAGTCTTTTGTTCTACGCGCTAGCCGTGGTTTAAATTCAGGATATGTAGACACAGAAAATATGACCGGGAAATTTCCAAACGAGTACAGTATACCCTCTAGGTATGGGACCAACACGCGGACGACCGATGACCACTTCTCATGTAAGGAACAAATATGGTTCTTAAAATTGTCTAAAATGGATCTCATTAATCCATTCAGACGATATTTATTTCTATGAATGAATGTTTATTACATTTTAATCAGATTCAAGTTGGTCAAACTTTTGGCATTATCTACTCATACTGTAAGTTTTTTCAGTCATCTTTCCAGTAATTAGCGTCGAAAAGATATTGTTCAACCTTCTTTGGTGCAAAGCTTCACATAAGTGACAATACAATAAAAATTATTACTCTAGTCAAATTTGATATAGACACTACGCGAAAACCACACGCCAGGTTTGTTTTCAGAATACTGTTGTGGTTACTGCCTAAAACCTATTACTCGATCCTGTTTACATCAAAAACCAGTAATTCCTGGATTACTCACATGTTAACACCGCCTTTTTTTTCAAGTTGAATGTCAATTTCAGGATGGATTATATTCTGTCCGCTAATAACACTAATGACAACATTGTATTCGTGCCGTGTTACAGGTCTTACGAAGCAGTTTTAGACCTCATTTCCAGAGATTAGATCGATCTACTTTAGATCGACCTAAGTCCCTGGGGGTTCACGCTAAATAGCTGTCAGCCGGGCGGACACGAAAGTTAATTACCCCCTTACAGCTTGTAGTAGGCGGGACGGGCATTTAAGCCGGATTATCTGACAGTAATCTAGTGAGACTCCCCGCGGGGATAGATCGATCTAAAAGCTCTGGGAATACAACCTTAGTGAGCCGAACGGAACCAACGGAAATGAAACCATTTCCACTTGGAAAATACTGTAAAAAGTGATTTTATAACAAGTTAGGGGACAATCTACATCGATATCCATACATAGTAGTTTCACATGACAGGAAAATTATCTTAAGACCAGTATTTAACCAGGAATCTAGATATAATCAGTTTTTGTTATAATGATTTCGTTTCAGTTTTGGTGTACTTCGACATCTTTTTGTACCTTTATCAGTTTTTTCCATGTAGTTTTGAATGGATACAAACACATCTACTGTCGCCTTTTTTAAATGGCGTTTTTTAAAAACTAACGGTCAAAAAGTGTTAAATGATGTCCAACACGATTTTTTTCCATAAATACTCAAAATTAAGGCTACGGATTGAGAGAATATAAACAAGGCAGCAAAACTGTCAAATGTACACACACGTGCAGAAAATAATGGTGCTGGTCTGTTTTGATGCAATATTACTAAATCAACACCACCAATTTTAAATTACGTACTATAGGTAACACATCATGAACATTCAGAAAACATTACTAGCATAGGACCTCAGTACTGCGGGATTTCAAAGTCACATACTGAAAATGACAATATGTGAAAAATTCACATAAAAACTACATAGATGCAAGAAGAATAACTCAATCAAAATGGCTTTCCAATTTGAGCTGTATGCCAGTCCTAAGAATCTTTCTTGTAAGTTAGAGTCTAACAATAATACCGTATTCCTTTTATAGCGTTAATGGTGGCAGTGCACAAAATCGTTTTTTTTTTTTTTTTTTTTTTGGCCCATTTTGATGCATTGTAATGTAATGATTAAAAGCATGATCACCTCCAATTTTTTTATCAAGTACCACAGGTAAAATGGATATTCAAGTAATGTAAAGAGCATAGGAGCTCAGTTTCATGGGATTTCAAAGTCACACATTGGAATGCCAAAATGTGAAAATTGAATATTTCACGCACACACACACAAATGCATAACTTTAAAAAATTAATCCAATAAAGCTGCTAATCGAATTTGTGCCATAAATCACTCCAGTTTGAGTAAAATAACTCATGTAATTGGTGAAAAAGTGCATGGCAACAACAACTGTAGTTTCATAATATCTGCTGTTTAAACAAAGCAAAGGCATGTATGCATTAACAAAGCAAAATATATTTCACAACTGCCTTACATACATACATACAATGGTATTTATCAATATAAACAAATTTACAATGCTCTTATATTCACAATAATAATAATAATTATAATGGTATCAACATTTCCACTGATAAAAACAAGTTTGTTACATAATCAACTACAATGTTACTACACCCAAACATTGATTTCCTCATTCTAGAGTTTATTATGTGCAACTTGAAATATTTGTTCACATAAAATCACTGCCAATATATTTTCATCAAAACAAGGATGACAAGAGCATACTCTTCCTTATTGGGTAAAAATGCTTTTCAATTAAAATTTGTACCAACATATATTCCATGCAATCTCCCTCATTTCTAGATGCACCTATCTCCATTTAATAAAATACAATTAAATGGAAAATTCTCCCACAAAATAATGATAATAAAAAAATTAGCACAAATTATGTAGATTTATCATTTTTTAAACAAGTTTGGATGTGAACAGAAAAATTCTGGAGTCCATACGAATGTCAATATTTATGAGAGTTGTCAGTGAATTTGTGCAGACAGAGAAACATTCATAATTCATAAAAGAAAATGTCTGAAAACTGTATTGACTGAACAGTATCTTTAAAAAATGCTCAAAAATCTAATTGAATGTTTTACATCAATGGCCTGTTGTCCATACTTTAACCTTGCAATTGACCTCCTTCATTCCCTTCTACACACACCTTACAATAATCAATTTAAATGATGTAATCTAATCACTACGCACCATTTTATTACCCATTACAATGTCATCAAATTCAGCGTAAAATAATGATAATTTAAGATGCTGTTAGAATGAGAAACTGTATGTTAAATACCAAAAAACATAGAACAATCATTTAGTGGATTCTGCATTGTGACCTTAACTTATTCCCTGATATCTTACATTGTTCTGGTGTTAGTAAATAGGCGCATCTTAAAGGTCAATTATTCCATTCTACCCATGTTAATAAACTTGCCTTATAAAAAAAAAAAAGACTTTCCTGAACTCTAAGTGTGCCTTCAGAACAGCAGACTAACAAATCGCAGATCAACCATGTCAACACACTAAAAAGCTTGCCGCTTTAATCCCAATTAGACACTGAACAGTCTCCGAACAGAGATTATGCAACAAGCATTCACGGGAGTCGGCCATATTTGTTCTGTGCGTCTGTTAGTCTGCTTTTCTGAATGCGCTCTAAGAAAAAAAAGATCTCAAGATGGGATACCAACACAGCATTACTTCAACATACATATTGGTCTTCCCTGCCTTTAATCCAGTGGCAAGCAAGCAAACTAAAGGTATCAGTTCTAATCTATATCAGATTGGAAAATGGGTGACAAGTTATTATCTATTTTGTGAATACAGAAGTCACCAATAAAATGTCTATGTATTAGAAAAGTTCACCTGCAATGTGATCAGTATAGACTACTGTACAGAGGGCAAATAGTGTGATTTATATTAGTACTGTTAACACGTTTACCATCATTTCAATTTGTAGAAATAAATGCCCCTTAATTCTAAAAAGTTCAAACACCTTTATTTTTCTTCTCTGAACTACCAAATAATAATTCCAAAAGTTTTCAGGAAACTGCAAGATCAAGTAAACCAAAATCAACTCACTCGATTGACCTATTGATAGCACGAAAATATCAAGTGATAATATATCTTCTTCTTAATTAACAACAACGTAATAAACAAGGGGTTTTTCAAAATCAGGAAATCCTGTGTGGAGAGAGAAGTCTATTCGAAGTACTTCTTGTTGATATCACGGAAAATCTATTTTCAGACTAAAAATTGATCATTGAGGATATAAACAACTTCTTGGTGTTAAGTTACCAAGAAGACAGAATGTCAAGAGTTCTGAAAATTATACAAAAACACCAAATTCAAGATGTTGCCAAAATAATATAGTTACACATATTTCACTTACATTAATTTTTTTTTATGTGTCTTCTAAGGCATTTTAATAATGACTTAAGTGCTGTAAGTGCATATATGTCTTAATGCTACCTTTATGGTTTTACTGGCCATCCAAATATTACATTTGGAAATTGTTATCCACAGTTGTCAACACAAAGCACACCAGACAAACATGAAAACCATCCAAGCTAGGTAGATGTTTAAGTTAGGGAAATAAATTTCATGGTAAAGTTAGGCAGGGAAGACACTATGTAAAAGTTAGCCTAGGAACACTACGAATGAATGAGGCAGTAAAGATAACATAGGAAGATAACATGTATAGTCACCTTGAAGAATATTTGTTAACTTATAATTTATTTGCAATATGAACCCAATCATGGAAATTTTAATGACTAAATTGAATGAAGTGTTTAGTTTCTTTTTCTATTTTTTGTTGAAAGTTTTCTCCCATTTGTTCCAATTCAAGTCTTTTGGATTGCCATTGCCATATGCAAAAGTTTTCTTACATGTGACATTTTAATAAAGAGAAGTGCATTACATTTTCATAGTGGGAGAGTTTGATACTGTGATAATGTAATGATAAACTTCCGTGTCCTTAGCCAAATGTTTTGAATTCTTGTGCTAAAATCTAAGTATTATTTCCCATGCTCCGTGCACAAGCTTCTTATGAACCTCTTAAATGCAGTCCTAAATTTTGCACAAAATTGCCACGTACTGGGAAATGCCAACTGCAACTCATTTATTGAATTAATTATTTTTCTGCGATTTCCTTCCTCTTTTTAAACACACCTGTGAGTGTGATTTTGGCAAGAAATGGAAGACAACATTCATCAACAAAGGAAGAGTATTCATATTAAATCGGCAAGAAAAAGAAAACAAAACTAGACTTTTTTTGTACCTTTGTAAGCCTCGGGACAACATAAGGTTGACAACATCATACTAAACAGCTTATAAACATAGTTAGACATCCAGTTGGTATGATGTTGTCTTAGATTTAATATTGTAAGTCCAGAAATACAATTTAGAAAATTTATATATATATGCATATATAAATAAATATATATATAAATATGTATATTATAACTGAGAGGTGAAGACCAGTCATTTAAATAGAAAAGCTACACAAAATTTTCATAATTCTCATTCTTCTGTGCCAAATGAAATGACGAAAAGAAATTTACCATACTAAGATTCATGCAGAAGTACACAACTCTTCAAAACTAAGGACTGGGGAATTGACAGCCTATTATTTCTAGGGCACTGGCACTTTGGTTTAAAAAATCTGATCTTCAAATTTTCATTTCAAAAACTTATACAGTTTTTTTATCCATGTCTGTAATATATGAAATATCACTTTTATATTACAAATACTTGTCTTTTACTTGCTATAATACAAGCTTCTTTTTAGCTGCAAATGAAATTTTACAATTAGAAAAAAAAAAAAAAAAACTTCTTGACATTGAAAACTGAATTTCTCATCTAAGAGTTCCATGATCTGCATGAGGAGAAATATTTTCTTTTCTGACTGGCTGTTGCGGTGCTTCGACTTCCACTCAAATTCACCACAAGGGCCTTGGACAAAGTTCTACCTTGGTGAACTAGCACTGTTTCCATCAGCAGCATCTTCCTCCTCATCTACATATGCACACGGGAAGTAACCAATCTGAAGTCAGATAACAAAAAATTCAAATCTTTTCATTGATTACTTACGGAATGGAAAAACAATCAACTGAGATACAATTCTGCTTGTGACAACTTATTCTCTCCAATTAAATCGCCTTGCTACACACACACACACACACACACACACACACACACACACACACACTATAAATAAGAATGATGTCATTTTTCTTCAGATTCTGCTAGACATCGAAACATTGGAGGTAAAAAATATCTCAATATTAGCTGTTGACTGTAGAAAAATTACATCATTTTTATAACATAACACAGCTGATGAAATTCTTCTCTGACACACTCTAGGAATATTTTAAAGTGATACAGGTAAAGGGAAAGTTTATCCAGCATACCTTTCCTCTTAATTCACCTTTCCACCAGCCCCTGTCTTCCCCCTGCTTGCTGACAATCTTGATCCTGTCCCCTTTAGTAAGTGAAATTTGATTGGTTGCCGTTGCAGCGTAGTCAAATGAGGCCACTGCATAACCCAAGGCTGGCGTTTCTCGGGGTGCTGGATGAAAAACTAATAAAGTATTATCATAAGGAATAAATGAATAAGGATAAGCACTGCATAGGTATGCAGAAACCAAACTTATTTTTTATTACTAAGACAGTGGACAACTTGGTTGGTAGACATACATGTCATGCTCAATTATTAAAAAAGATTAATAAATAAAATACATCATTTTGCAGTTTACCTCAATTATAAGAAACTGTTTAAAATTGTTCACTTATAATGACTGAATATACTTCATAAATTAAAAGCATATTGACGGGCACTTAGCTTTTTATTTTACAAAAACATAGTTTACCTGCATTTTGCCTCACACTTTCATTGTACGGAATACTTAATACTGTGTCCAATTCTGGGAAGCTGTAGGCTAAAGAATTTTTCTGGTAATAGTCTACCAATTCCTATAAAAATGTGTAAAATTGAGGTTATCTGAGGTATTCAAATGTAATCTTTAAATTAAATATATTTCCATGAAAATAAAAGAATGAACCATTGAAATAAGGGAACACCCAATATTTAAAGGCACCCCCAAGGCCTGTTTCACAAAACTTTAATCTACTCCAATTTAAGATAGATCCACAGTAGTCCACTTCAAAATTTTTTTTTTTTTTTTTTGTTATAAAACAGGTGCGGGGCATAGTTTCATTTAATTGAATTACCACCAATTTTTGTCTTATTAATTTGGACCAATTTTCAGACTTTAGTAATTTTGTGAAAGAACACCCATCCCCTAGGAAACCAGAGGAAACCCCCTGACATTATCACTCTTCTCACTTTGGGGACCTGAGACGTTAACATAATCCTCGAGTAGTAGGAGACCTTCCTGTATGACCAAAATCAATTATCACATTGAGCAATCCATTAATGCATTTCAAGCTATTCACCACCCATCAAATAAATCTTTTATGAAATCTGAGATGAACAAGATAAAATAAAATGAAAAGCAATTATATTGACTCACTGGTATACTCCTAAAAAATCGACAGTCTGCCAGATAGAAAGACCCTTCCTGTGTTCTCATGACCCGTATGTGTTTAACATTGTTGTCATATCTGATAAAAAAGAGGTAAAATTCAGAAAATTGATGAACATTTAGTATACAATAAATGTAAGACAATTTCCTCTCAATGGGCAATTATGATTGTAAAGCATACTGTTTAAAGATATTTAAGACAGCTTGAAAACTTTGAAAATAAGGTATGTTTTTAAAACAAAATCAGATATTTACTGAACATATTTCAGTTACTTGCAACCATTCACCACAACTGAACGCTCAATAATAAAAAATTCAGAAAGAGAAAAAAAAAATGATAATTAAGAAATACAAGCCGATAGAAGAGAGAAAAATACTTTTGGAAACTCCTCAGACCTTCACTGACAAAATAAGACTGTTATCTCCAGCATGCACAATGCATACCAAAGACTAAACAAGACACATTCATATCTAAGAAAATCTAACATATCATTAATTAATAAAAACAATGTTATTTTATCACTAAAAAAAAAGATTAATTTTGAATTGAAACTCACTTCACACTCAGGGCGTAGTCCCCCCGCCTGGCAGGGTTGATACTCTCTCGGATAAGGTACGTACTGCTAGGATGGTGTTCTAGTTTGACCATTGCACTTTCACGACTCATTTCTCCCACATACCTAGTATGGGGGGAAAAAGTTACAGTGCAAAGATACTGGTGTGATTCAGAAATAAATGCAACCACAGGTGAAATAAAAGATTATTGGTAATATGAGATAAAAAATTACAACTATATTGACAATATTTTAAGAAATGAATAAACTTTTTAAGTTCTTAAAAAGAAAACTGGACAGTTTCAGTCATCCTTATGCTATGTTTAACAAAGACCTTTTTAAACTATATTATGTTTTATTAAATCAGTTTACATTCTATAGCTTTGAATCTACATTTTAAAGAAAATATTTAACAGCAAAGGTCCAAAAATGCTAAAAGGTGCCACTAATATTGAAAGTGGTGCTTTGCAACATTAGAAAAATTACAAGCTAAATTAGCTGAATAACACACTTAACATTTGCTGGGATCTTAACACACAAAACTACCCAGTAATTAGTCAAAAAAAAAAAAAAAATCTGCTGACATATAACATACATGCTGTTATTTCCACTAATGTAAAATTCTAATGTTACAGTACCTATTATGCTTTTTTGTCATAAGAAGGACTTTCTTTCTTATTTTTTGCAAGTAAGCTAATTTTTTTCATGGTTCACACATCAACTCTTTGATCAAGAAAAAAAATCATGAAAAATTTTTACACACAGTGTAACATTCTTTTTTTTTTCCTTTCGGGAAATGTATAAAATCATCTGATGACACCATGAAACTCTGCACATACCAAGGATATCCTTCTAAGTTAGCCAGGTTGATGTATGGATGTTTCTGTGAGGCCGAACTGGCTGGCCTTGGTGACCTTTGTAATGGAGAACCAATGGGTGATTGGTTCTCATCATTATGTAATGGGGATGGAGGACGGACATCATGATGCAGATACGAAGGCCCACGTTGGAACTAGCAATTGTTGAAAAAAACATGCAGCTTTGTATTTAACAAGTAAAGCCAAGCACTATTTGGGTATAAGTATAAACAACCAGGTCAGTACAAATGGGAATAATCCGAGATAGCCTATAATGACGCATTTTCATGGCAGAATCTGCTTGAAGTGAGGTTTACTTTTCAGCAACAATGGTGAAACCTCTGCATGTTTCCTTAGAAAGCAATTTAGTGCCACTGAAAACATGCCGAATTCCTACTTGTTTGCCAGAACTTAAAAAAGAAAACAAGCTTTAAAACATCTGCACTTGTCACTCTGCCATTTATTTTAGTCATCATTCTCCACGAATCCTGTGAAATCTGACTTAATTTTCTACTACACTGTAAGACTTTGAGCTATCTTGGTTGATTCCCATAAGTTCTGACATCTATATGAAAATCTCTTTAAACTTTCTCCTGGATTTGATATCACCTGGGTTTGTGATAAATCAACATAGATTATCATGGATGAGTAAGCAATGACCTTGTTTTTGTTATTGCAATTTGATGCATGATAAACTCGTGCTTAATATCAATAACACTAATGTCCCATTTTTCAGAATCATAGATGGTTCACAAAAAAGGAGAAGTTTTTCAGAGCAACAGAGAATCTGAAGTGAAAATAGCATAGTTAGTGACAGTTCAACACTTATGGGGAACAATTTTTTTTTCAAATGTAAAAAAAGTAAAAAAAAAAGGCTGGACTAATGGAAACTTCTGGAAGGATTCCTAAAATAAAAACCTTTCAAAACAATACCAAGAGTTCTAAAACTGCATTGTCTTAATACAGTTTAAAAGTGCATAGGATGTTTGACATATAAACTTGAAAGTTATCATCACAAAGCACCCTTTATTAAGATTTTTTCCTTGAAAGGCTCTACAGGATTGTTTTTTTCTAAGATGAAAAACCATGCAATACACAGTATATTTACATAAGAGGATCTAGTATACATATTTTGTATGTGGGGCTGCATGAATGCTTCTACACCAAGATAACAGCGTTGCCAGCACAAGGAATAGGAGGGTGAGGGTGGGGACTGTCAGTCCAACACATTTTCTGATTATGAAAAAAAAAAAATAATAATAATAAAATAAATAAATAAAATAAAGAGGCTGGCAACTCTGTAAGTATCATTCAATGGTTTTTTAATATAAACTGCCAGCTAAGAAATCCTCAAATAAACAATCAAACACATGAGGCTATAAAGCATTAAACATGCCCAGCACATGAAAAAAAAATGAGTCACTGAAAAGATTTTAGAAGCTATCCATCTTCTTTCATACCAGGGATACTGTTTAAACTCCTCCTGTAGACTTGGAGCATTAACATACTGATGCCCGCCGCTGCCTCGTCCTCGATAATGAGTGGCAGCCTGAGAGAGGGACGGCAGGACTTGTTGTTCGTAAGATGGTTTACGTGGAGGAGGAGGTACAGGTATGGGCACTGACTATAGACAGAACAGACAGGCAACAAGTGAGAAAAAGAGAGAAAAAAATACTTGCTACCAGAACAAATGACCAGACTTAATAATGCACAGCTTAACTTCCTGTGGACAAAGATTACTAGACTTGATACTGCAGCTATCAAAATGGCAGTCTAGTTTTAAATGCTGGAATTTTAAAATATACAACTCAACCATATCTATAATAAATAATATCAAATACACTTCCTGTAAATGGAAAATAAAAATGAATTACAATTATGATGGAATATAAATACAACCAATTAAGCAATTCTTTAAATTACCCCAAGATTATCATGAAATGTTTTTCAAAAGACTCAATTATCTATTTTTTTCTATTTGATAGGCATCCAAATATCACACGACAGAGAGTCTGCTTCCCATTCATTTGTACAGGTAAGCCTCCCCTTTGGATTTTGACCCATTTAGGTCAGGCTAACCCTAACCATTGTAACTAAATGGAGGGCAGACTTTCTGTTACACAGGGAGCCTCAGTTTTGCTACAGGCTTCCGAAATATCACCCACCGGTCTCCTGTACTCCTCCACATAGGATTTGAGAAAGAATCCTTCCTTTCCGTGAAGTCTCCCTTCCCACCATTGCACATTGTCATTACTGATCAGGTCTATCACGTCGCCCTGCTCAAACTTCAACGCCTGTCCCTTGTTTGTAGGTGGGGCAGGTGTACCAGTGTAGGATGCTACGGCTTTCACCTTTATACCTGGAAAATTAAGATTTACTATTTAAATAAAGATTTATTCATTTATTTATTTTTTTTTAAAGTCCAATTTTGGAGATTTGAGGTAAGGTCTTATGAAACCAGTTCTGACATTCATTTCTAGGTATTTTTCATCTTTTTGTCTTCAATCAAAATACTTGCCATAAGATGCATTAAACATAAAATAATATAACCAGAGGCACTGAATTTGGAAGAGAATTCACTTGTGACAGGCAACAAAGTAAATATTCACCCAAACTTGGTTTAGCTGGCAGTCCTCTAGAATGCGCGGAAGACACGGATGCTGAGCGGTGGTTGTAGACTGTGGAGGACCTGTCAATGGGACGTGGTGGAAGTTCAGGGGCTGGACCTGAGAAACAATGAAAAAATCTTTAAAAGCAAATGTATATGCTACCAGAAAACCCCGTCTGTTGACCAACTGTGAAAAGTACATTTCTCCTAAATTGTTTAACTGTTTTTTTTTTAATTTTAGGCCACACTTTTTTATTTTTATGGATGACATCCTCTGGGGACCCCAAAATCGGTGCGAGCGGGCGAAAAAAAAAAAAAAACAGTCCAAAAAAAAAAATGCTTAAGAAAAGTTATGTTTTCAGTACACAGCTGGAAACACTAATTTACCACAGAAACTTGTATCAAACTAACAACATGTCTTTATCCATGCTCTCAAAATATTAAAGCATTGTGAATAGGGCCTACTTCGTAGAAAGGTAAAAAGTCATGAATATATATATGCTGCATATTACCAAATCTATTTAAGGTTATTTCATGCATTCTGTTGGTATAGCAATCAATAAAACAAATATCAAATAAACAGCGTGTCTTTATTTGTACTCTCAGAAAATTTAAGCATTGTGAACACTTCTCAGAATTGTTAAAAAAATGAAGCAAAGATAGGCCTATGCTTCCTACTACCAAATCTAAAAAAGGTAATTTCGGTCGATGCCATTTTGTCTACTTCGCCTCACACGTAGCAGCCAACTATCGGGTGGCCTGTCCGACCTTCAGTCCACCAAATACCACGACGCTCTTGTCGACCCTTTTTTCGCTACAAAAAAAAACCCTGGTAAGCCTATGTGCTGCTTTGGACAGAATGTCACTGAAATTTTCCGGGCGATGATCGCTGGCCGCGGCCAGCCTTTCGTATAATTGTAAAAAGGTGATGTCTCCATGTCCAATATCAATGGCAAACCAATCCAAAACGACGGCCCCGTTCTCTTTATGACTTTAATTGTCGTGTATTTTGAAATTAATGCTAGAGATGAATTTGACGGCAAAGCGGCCATATTTCCACGTGGTGATAATACTCATGCGCAGAAAGCTCATTTTCCGCACTCGAAACTACTCGGATGTCTCTGCAGTCGACAATGACAGCATGGAGCTTGCGGAATGAGCCGAGGATTGCCGATTGCATTTTCCGGCAAATTCAATAACGACGTTTGCGACAACCGACTTCCTTGGGGGGGGGGGGTATTTTTTTTTTTTTTTTTTTTGGAGAACGGACGAAAATCGGTGTGCGCGCAGGATGTCATCCATAAAATTAAAAAAGTGTGGCCTTATGGGAAGCAACACTAAGACACCTTCATTAAATTAAAACCTTTGGGGTAAATATAATTTAGGCGGAGTGTTAAGGAGTCTGTGATGGGGTGAAAGTAATTTTTTCCCTGATAATTCCATACAAACCATTGCTTATATGGCATTCTCTCTTTGATGCCTTCTGAATACATTCTTTGTGGACTGACTGCTTGCACCCTAGAGAAGATACAAATATAGTTAAAGTATACCTTGAGGTTAGTCTTTAGTTTGCTCACAGAACTGCATTATCTGTGGGACGTGATTTAAAAATGAAAAAGACTGTTTGTTAGGCCTGTCTGCCATTTAATGCTAAACATTTACTAGATCATTTCCATTTCAATATGGCAGAAAAGAGTGCATACGGCGAATAATATTTAAATGCCTGAATTATTTTTGCAAGAATTTTTTCCTTTTTTTTTTTTACCAAGTCTCTCTTTTCTGTACATTCACTATGGTCAGTACACTAGTGCTATTAATTTCAGTACATTTGACCAGCTTGGCTCTACTGCACCAAATACACTTACTGTGACAGTTATAACCTTGGTAAAACACACCCCTGAAATTTACAATTATAACAATATAAAATAAATTTGTACTTTTTACAAATGCTATATGCTTTTTTTTTTAAAGTTATTAAAGACACTTACAACAAATTTTAGACATATTCAAATGCTATCCTTTGTTACAGTAATGATTTAACTAGCATAATTATTTTATTCTTTGGTCTAAATGTTTAAACAACAAAGACTTTAAATAAATTTAATAAGTATGACAATCAAGTGAAGGTTACCTAAGCAGTTCTTTTTACATCAAAATATTTATCAAAATGGATACTTTTCAGTCCAAATGTTTAAATACTGAATGCCTGACATAAAGGCAATTAGTAATACAATAAAAGTGAAGACTACCTCAGAAGTTTTTTACATTCACTACAAGTTTGTGGTTCTTCAAAAGTGGTCATGATGAAGTCATGCCCCTTCTCCCTAGCATTGGCGGGATTTGTGTTATCTCTGTGGAAACAAATAATGATATTTATTTATCATCTAAAATCCATATAAAATGTTCAGTAGACTTTACAGGAATAAAATGAACAGAATAACATGGATAGAATATGAAGTCACTAACATCTCTATTAATAGTGACAAATAATGACTATAATTACTTCAGTAGAAAACAATCCAGAAGATATATTTACAAAAAAAAAAAAAAAAAAAAAAAAAAATCCTTATTTATCATGCAATTTTTACCCAAGAGCATTAAATGCACCAAAAAATGTTTTCAATAAGTCAGTAGACTAAAATGCATTGTTCAGCTTCAGTATTCGTAAAGATATTTTTTATCATGTTATATTATAAATAATAATAACTCACAGCAATTCAATCTTACTATCTAGGTATCTACTATCATTACTTACAATGCCATTTTGATGGCATCCACCCATTTCATCTTCATCTCTTCAGTCTTTGCATAGAAGTTGTAGGCAACAGAATTTTTGTTTTCTGACAAAAGGAACACGTGTCCCCACTGAAAAATTGAATTCCATCACATCAAGTTTACATACAGTACAGACTACAAGAACCATTTCTATGCACTATGACAACAGAACAATGTTTAACTGTGCTTCTCACAAAATAGTCTTACTAAGTGAGAAGTTTTTTCCTGAGGTAAAAAAGATTTTGTGTCATTAAATGTTCTTTTCCATTGCAGTTTAAAACAATTAAATATCATTAACAAAATAAAGGCAACTGACTTTTTCACTCCTGGGTCTTCCTGCAGGCACCCCCTCTTCCACTCGGTGCTGTGCCAAAACTAGGGCATTCTTGTAACTGTAAGTTTCACCCTGGAAAGTGACAGACATTTAAACAACATGCACAGTGACATCCTATATACATAACAAAACAATAACAATACGAGCTACCTTGATTATTGCCAGTTCACCATTTTTCCCAAATATGTGTGCAGCGGTAGAAAAATAGTATTGTGGCTTGTGATATCATGGGTGCCCTTTTTAGAACCAAGTTATAATATAAATGTCACTCTGGACTCCCCTCCTAACAAAGTAATGTACAAAATTTACAGTATTTAGATCATTTCAATGTTTCTTGGGAGCAATGGTGCCCTATATAAGGATAAAAATAGCAAAAACCATGCAAACTGCTTCTCTTTTCACACAATACGCAGAAGAAAATTTCATTCTCTTTTATAACCAATTATGATGGTACAAAGTGCACATGCACAAGGACAAACAGATTCAAATAGTAACACATCTCAATCCACATATCCTAAAATTCTAAGGTTTCCAATAGTGCACTATTTTGGGCACGGTGTCCTTGGCATACTTTAATACCCCCCCCCACCCCGTTTCCATTTCTGAGTTACTTTCAAGAACAGCCAATGTTTGTGTTTGGGTCTAAAGTTACCCCTGAGATCAAAACCTATTGGACACCCTAATATTCTGCAACACATTTCAAATTCATAAACCAAGAGAACGTAATTGCTAGCAATCCATGCTGATTTAGCAAACAATATGGCAACGGCATCCATATCTGACAACAGAAGACATGCAAATGCAACCATCCTCAAAAAAATTTACGATAAAAGGACTAATATCACATCAGAACATGCCTACGTGTTATATGTTCCGAAAATGCTTTTTACTAAACTTTAAAGAAAAATAATATTGTTGAGCAGAACATTCACACATTACATCATTTGTTTTTAAATGGCAGAGAATTCACTTACTATATTTTGGTGGTTGACTTGACCATTTCTATACTATCAAGTAACAACATACTCAAACAACATTTAAAGCTGACTATATACAACTGAATATACACAATCTACTGTACTTTTATTCTCTCTCTCTCTCTCTCTCTCTCTCTCTCTCTCTCTTAGGTGAAATCAGTGTACTGAGAACATAAAGGGACTTCCATTAACACAATGACAGACTGTACATCACTCTGGTAAAGGTAACATTACACGAATCCTGGCAGGCCAGATAGCAGTAGTACAGTAACNGCGTTTTATGAATATTCATCAGCTCTGTAAATATAAAGCCAAAAAGAAAAACTGCCTTCCACTTATCGTGTTTACAAGGAAAGTGCACGGCGCCGGCGATGGCAACGACGGCGACGGCGACGACAGACGCAGGTGATGGCAATATGTACAGACACATCTGTGTCTGTACATAAAAATAATGACATGTATTAACTAAACACACTTGTATCACAAAATGGGAACATCATGACAAACTCGTATCAGACCACTTTTTACAACAAAGACAAATATCATGCTGCAAAAAATAAAGCAGTTCAGTAAGAAAAAGAAAGAAATTTTGGACTAATTTGGGATGTTAAGGCTATCACAACATGCTGAAATATGTGCTTGCCTGTATGCAGGGCCAGACACATGCATATACGGAATACATAACCTTATATTTTAGTGCACATGCTGGAAGGAAATGAATATACATTTAACATAAATTCTGGACATTTATCTAATTAAAGGAGTACTAGTATACATGCACGGTTGACATCACAATGATAACATGAAACATACAACTATAACTGTAATCCCCTTTATAGTGATAAAATCTTTTCCTAAAAACTTACAGATTTCAACAAATAATCTCCATTCAGTCACAAATCCTACACAGCTTTTGTTTAGGTAATTTTAAATCCTACTGGTAAATCAACACGGCAAATGGATGCAAACTTGCAATCACTATTCAAATTCACCCAATGTAGAGATTTCTAATTTTTATTTCTATCAATCTGATAATACAGCAAAAATGCTTTAATCAAGTTTACTCCGTATCACATAAAGGGGCATACACATTTAATACTGTCAAGCTTTGACATACAGGAATAATGGCGCAGTTAAAGCACAGTTGTGACAACATAACTTAGACTGCAACAGCAATTTCTAACCATTCCCAACAATAAAAGCTGTGGAAATATGTCATTCAGATTGGATTTTGAATGGTTAAATTTGTAATAACAAGGGTCAGCTGTCTCAAAAAAGAACTTAAGCTTGAAAAGTGGTCTTAATTCTTGACTAAAATATTGGGCCTACTTTTACTCTAGATCAATCAACAGCATTCAAATCAAATGGAATATTATGCATGAAAAAAAAACTTTTGGACTTGATTTTTTTTTTTTTTTTTTGTGAAACTGACCCCAGAATGGGCTGAGTCATTCCAGTACTAAGCTAAAATGTTACAACTGGGCTGTAAATGCGGCTTCAGGTGTCATCTGCAAGCTTTGACATGCAGATAAACTGGAGGGCTTGGGGCATGCTTTGTACATGCACATTCCATCTTACCCATAGGAACTTTTCCATGGTCTACAAAAACATGCGGCAAACATACTGGATATGAATAATATAAGGCGTGGAAAGCAAATCCAAACGACTGCACCATTTAGGATACAGAAGTGCTCTTAAATGACCTTGGTTCGTTTTATCTAAAGCATTATCTTTCTTTACATGTATATATTTCATTGTGCTGATAACATAACAAAGTGAGGCCAGTAAGCTTTTGTGACTTTAAAATTACTTGAAAATGAAAACTAAATGTGAAAATGATATAGTGCACTGTTAGTGAAGATGTAGTATATAGTGACATATATTCCATCAGACAACATTGCTTCTGTCAACTTAAACATCATTAACTAAAATATGAGCACAGCTACTTGAAAAATTTTATGCAACCCATTTTTCCAAATAGCATAAATAAAAACAAAATGTTGGAGATTTTCCATTTTACTTTTTCTAATTTTTCTAAGCTAGTGAATTTATGTTAATCTCTGTAATCTTTACTGTCAGAAGGTAATCCTTGACAGATTTGTTTCTCTCTGTGATAGGAAGCCACACCCTCCCTTTCAAAGAGAACTGGAAACTTACCCTAGACTTGCACATGAGCATCACCTTGTCAAACAGGAAGATATACCTTAAAATAACACAAATTACAAAGTATGCACCTAAATAAAGATTATGAAACAATATGAAGAAATATAACACACATTTAACATCATAATTCTATTGAATGGTCAATTAAGTATGATTTGTTACATCTCACATAAAGTCTGAACAACATAATATTAAAAAAACTAAAGTTACTTAAAAATAAATTTTCCTTTGAAACATCTAAATTTTAATAAGTAACAGTCTTGAAATAACGACAATTTATTATAGAGATCATATTAAGTAAGTGAAAGACTTTATTATTTTCCATTATTTAAACAGACCTACTTAGTGCCTACCTAGTTTTTAACCTGTTGTCTTCATGGGACTTAATCTTCAACTCTCCATCCTTCAGCAGTCTGCCATAGTCTTTTAAAGATGTCTTCTCAGGCTGAAATAGAAGAAAAATTTAACATAAAAATTTGGCTAATTGGGATAAAAATGTATACAAAAGGGGTTGCAAAAGACAAATTAACATTTACAAGTCTTATTTTTTTAAATCTAAAATGCTACCTAACAAGGTTATCTGTGATCTTTTAAAAACAGGTTAATTGTTTAAGTCTGGTTCACACTCACCATCTGTAGATCTACAATGCTGTCCTGGATCTCTTGTATAAGTTGAAGCTGCTCATTGTCTCTCTTCACCTCGTTCACATACAAGGACAAGTCCTGGAATAAAAAGTTGCCCATGTTACATAATCAAACTGCTTTGCCAAGCACGAGCAACAGTTTAAAACATGCGCAAAGGTGTTTGATGATGTTAATGGTTGTACACTTTGAAACAGACTTTTAGGAGATTGGAAAGTGACGAAATATTTGCGATTCCACTGTCAGTATATGCTGATCCAGTGTTTGGCAACTAAATATCTTTTGGTAAATCATTGGACCAAAAATTAAAACTCTTTGCTCGATGTTTAACCTACTTTAGAATATTTTCTGCTTTTTATATACAACAGGCCATAGGTTTAAATGACACATAATGATACATTTATCTATAAATTGTTTGAAAAGGTCAAATAACACATTGAATATGATGAGGAACACAGGCTGTGTTACTTTTAACTACTTACTTGCATGGCTTCAAGAGCTTTTTCCAAGAAGGTCCTATCAGGGCTTTTCTTGTCTGTTTGTTTTATAAGTTCCTACATAAAAAGGTAAAAACAATGTTGACACAGAAGTTCTTAATGGTTTTGTTGAAACAATGATAAATCCCAATCCAATGCTATCATTAACTGATAGTCTTTTTCATGACTTCAACTAATTTAACATAATAGGTATGGTACCCTTTTTCTCACCAGTTCTTCCTTTCTTTCTTACAGTTTAAAACAATTGTCATATCCTGGAAGTTACTCTCTGGATAGAACTGTTTTACCTTGAGCAGTAAATGATACTTGAGCACCCGCTGAACAGGCACAGAGAGAAGATCTCGCAGGCGGAATTTGCCTTCATTGGCCTTCCTTTGGCACTCCTGAAGTAAAATAAAATCTGTGCTTAACCCAGAGAGCAATTAAAACACAGAAAATTATTTATTTATAATCAATAATTACCACATTTAATGCACAGCACTACAAAGATGCCACTTTGTAACTGGGCAACTGCTAGTCTGCTGCAGTGTTCAAAAAAAGAAAGAGAAACTGAGCGGCATCCCTAAAATATCTCAAGATGAAGACATTGAAGTATAAATCTTAGGTAAAAATGAAGTTAGCACTACTAGAGTTCTGAATTGCCCATGGGTCCTGGAAAACTACTAGCCTGTCACTCCAGTGGCAAGTTAGGGGCAAAATTACACACAGACTACTCACTTCAACAGCAACTCTTATAATTTCATTCTTCCTGCACAAGTCATCAATCCTCTCTTGAGCCTGTGGCAGATTGGAGCAGAAGTCCCCATACAGCAGTAGCTGTGGCTTGTACTTGATGAAGCAGTCTCCCAAGGCTTGTGCTGACGATCTCCTGACTGCTTGGTGGAGGTCACTCTGGAAGGCTGTGTGAATGTTGCCCAAACCCTGCAGGAGACAGAAAGAGAGAGAGGAAAATGTACATGAGGGAAATGATGCATGGAATAAAAACTGGGGTTGGTTTCAAAGAGAACTTTTGACTAAAAAGTTGGTCTTATCTTCAAGACAAAATTTTTGGTCCACTTTAATTCAGGAAAAATGTGCAATAGTCAATTTGAATACAGTAATGGTTAGGCTAAAATAATGATAATAATAATTATTTTTAGTCTAAAATCCATATAAAGTGATAAGAAATAAAAACAGTAGCCATTTTTTCTTGTCATGAAAAACAGAACTTCACGTAACTTTTCTACTTTTTTGGGGGGGAAGGGGGGGGGCTTAAGTAGACTAAATATTTTTGTCTAAAAGCTTAGACCAATGTAAGGTATAAAGTTCTATTCAGTAACAGGCCCCTGGGATCTCTCTAGCTTATTTTATCTTAGTCAAATGCTGAAAATTATGACATTTGGCTAAGGAGAGTTTAAAATTTGATTTATTCCAAAATCTTAATTTGGTTGTGAATATCCAGCTTTTTGGCTGAAGGAAAGTTTATCCAAGAAATAACCCTGAATATGATATGGCATGGCCATTGTATAGAAAACATATCAGATGCACCTACCTCTATATGCTTAAAGATCAACTCGTGATTTGGACTTGGAATTATGTTCTTTAAAGGGTGTATAAAGAACTGAAAAAATAATTAAAGAATGTATATGTGCTGAATCTTGAATAAGAAAGTAAGTTTAATTTATCAAGCCAGATGCTCAATTTGTTATAATAACCAGTTGTTTTTAGGTCTAATACAAGCAAAATCTTTGAAAGAAAATTAACTGATTCAGAAACTAAAACATTTCACACCATTTTTTCATTAGCCCTGGTGAGAAAAAAATGGTTGAAAATTATCACAATAAGCCTCCATTTAATTAATAAAGAAACAAAACTTTGAGCTAAGCATTAAAAAAAAGTTAAGCCTTCTTCTCTTAAAACCTTTAAAAACATTTTATCTGAATATTGCTTACTGTTTTTATCATCTGCAGTGCTTCAACATAATTCTTTTCTGTTTCAATTAATTCTTTCAGGCAGTGTTCTCTTTTTGTTTTAGGTTCAAAACCCTGGAAATGAAAAAATTAAACAATGAATTTTATATTTGTAAATGGATAGCTGAAAATTTTAATTTGCAAGGCCTTAAAATCATTTAGCAGAACATTTTTATCTTACACTTTTTATATGTCAGATATAATAATTTAACATAGTAATATAAAAGTTAGTAAAGCATACACACAACACACTTTGTTAAAACATATATAAAAAAGAGGAAAATCTTAAATTGTGGGATAATACCAAAGTTCTACATTCCCAGAGTTTTCGGATCAGGTGACTTGGAACAGAATCAGTACAAATTTTAGGGAGAATTCCGTTATTCAGAACTTGGCTACTTCAAGGACACTGTTTCTCAGATGGTCCATTACTTCGTTTTTGTACTGGGTGGTCAATACTTGGTCACTACTCGATAATGGTATAGACAATTTGGCAGACGTTACTTTTATAATGAGCAACATGCCAAAGCCAGATACTTTCAGAATATTGAACCATGGGGGGGAGTCGGTGAGAAACAAAATTAAAAGCTAATTTTCTGTTAAATGGATCTAATCTAGAAAAGACAAAGCTGAAAAGATAAAGTTAAGAAAAAAAGAGATATATACAAACCTTTATACATTAAATTAAAATACAATTCAGCTTTAAAGGTCTCCATAAAGCATGTTGTGGTAATGACAAAAAGCTCTTGTGCAAGCTCAAAGGATTCTTGCAGGTAGCATTGCTGTAATTAAGCTCATGTGCAAAAGGGGATACGTGACCATTACAATAGGGGGTTACATGACCTTGACTTTTTATTCCGTAAAAAGTAAAACTGCAAGACCAATGTAAATTAATAGGCTAAGCTCAAAAGATTCTTGCAGTTAGTATTGCTGTAATTAAGTAAGCTCATGTACAATATGGGCTACGTGACCTGGTTACAATAGGAGGTTACATGACCTTTACTTTTTATTTTGTAAAAAGTGAAAGTGCAAGCCCAATGTAAATTTATTGATCTCTTTTCTAACCTTATACTGTGGATTTTTAACATTCATGAACCTAGTTATCATCCTTAGCAAACTGTACAATCAACAACTTCATTACGTGGCCATCAAGGAGATTAAAAGCCAAATCAGCAAATTATAATCAGACCAGGAATAATAGTTCAGAAGCAACAGTGATAAATAGCAATTATTTTGGAAATTTTATGAGATAAAACTTGCAAACAAAAAAATTTTGTCAAAAGTTTTGAGTGCCTTGTGAATTTATCAGTTTATTTTTTGAAAAATTTTTTCTAGAATCTGGATATTTTTGTAGCGTGACAGCAGCTCTCATAGGCACAAAGCAAAGCAAGCAGAGAAAAACGTACCAAAATAGTTTTAGCAGATCAATGCAATAGGATAAAATTGAAAAATTTTATACCAAAACAGTGTCTTTTTTTCTGCGTTTCAGACACAAGTCCTCATAAATATCATCTTCATCCTCATTATATACAGAATCGTACAACTCATCTCCATCTGCAATATCGCGTTCACTGTGAGAAAAAATTAAGTGAGCACACTTTAGTGATTGACATGCACACAGCATTTTAATCCGTATCGTTTTTTTTTTCCTTTCAAAAATCCACGCCTCAAACAACAAACTAGTTCACCCGAATCCTTTTGGGAAATGAAGAAAGCTATTACAGAATAATAAAAAAAAGACAAAACAGTGCACTGACACCTGAAGCATAAACAAACTGTTAGATACTGAAGACAAATAACAACAATGAACAGATAAAACTATCTGAAATAGGGCAGTGATGGTGGAAGAGGACAGTCACAGTGAAAGGGGACAGTCAAAGGAAGACGGGATACTGGACTTGGGCCATAGAACCTGAAGATTAACTTGGTCAAAGAGTGGAAGATATATTTCAAAATTGACTTTAAACATACTCGGGGATGAGGCTGTATTTATTGGTAAAGTCAACAAATATGGCGTGGGGTCCAGGGGTCTCCTAGGCCATTGATATTTTGGCACAGAAAAAGTCGCAAATCTGCCAACAGTTGGAAAGATCTCATCCCTGATACTAGTATGTATCTAGAAAACTGGATTTATTTGCCAACTTTTCACCAATATCATGGCTACTAGAATCAAGGAGAAGAAACGCCAAAAAGTATTTTCAGTATTATGAATGAAAGAGAAAGATTAAAGAAAAAGTTGCTATTATAAGAAATTCACACTGTAGACTTTAAGATAATACCCAGTGACATGCTGATTTTAATCATTCAAAAGTAAATGTACAAGATGATGGCAGATGTTTTTAAATAAATAGTCAACTTATATGCAGATGTCAGCACTGGTCAGCAATTTTGGTAAAAACCAGCCACATTCCAATCTTTGAGCTGAATTACAGGCCCTGTTTAGAGGTTTTAGCCATCACCATCTTTTGTATGTTGTCTTGAAATTCATGTCTGGTTTAATCTTTGCTCCACACTTTTCTGCTAGGGTTATAGCTGTATCGAAAGTGAGAGCAGTAAGCTAGTGCTACCAGTCCTCAGAGGCTAACAGATCAGCTTGTAGCTGACAGATTTTGCAGGATATTAGGTGACATGGGGATTTTGATAAGAGGCATGCAGGGATCTATTAAATAAAACAACAAGACAATACATAACCACACAAAACACATAGCATTAAAATATGCATGGAAAAACACAATCTTTTGAAATAGGAGGAAGAAAAACACCTGCTCCAACTGGTCACGTTCTCGTTCCTTTCGTCTTCGTGTTGTCCTGCCTCTCAGGGAGCAGAGATCCTCGTAAATCTCCTGTTCACCTTCCTCGACTGTCGTCACTGCTGAATATATATCCTCATCTGGAAGCTCACTATAAAATGTCATAGGTTAAAGGTCAAAGAACTGGCATATTTTGGCAAAAAAGGATACTTCTTTCTATGGGCAACCCTACCTAAATGGTCAGGTTAGATAAAAGTATGAGCAATGAGTATACCTGTTCAATCAGAAAAGCATAAAACAATTGTGTCATATGACATTATGCATTCATGAATTGAACCTTTCTATCCAGAAATGTCAGAATTATCTCAGGCCAAAGGTCACTGGAGGTTATCCAGGTGGGAAAACTGACACCAATATTATCAGTGCTGAAACAGATCAAGCACATTACTGAAACTAAATACTATTACATTTAGCTTTTTTTATTTGGCTGAACAGAAAACTCAACTTTTCCTTTATCTTACTTTTACATTTCTAGCAACTGTAAATGTACCTAACAAAGAACAATAACAAATTTTTTCCAGTAGTTAGTTTCATAGAAGTATATTAATTTTATGAAACCAATAAGATTAACATTAGGTAGTAAATATATCCTTTATAAAAATAAAAATTATATTTCTTCATAATATTTATGGACATGACAGAACATGTTTAATCTTTGTGCCTCTACTGTTACATCAGTACGTACCATGCCCTGTCCTCTAGTGTTCTATATACGTCCTCCACGGGACTAGGGACTCTGCTGAGCCGATCCGGGGGAAATCCTCTATAATTCACATGTGATACAACTTTACTTAAAGAACCTCTTTTTTTTATTCAGTATTCATAGCCATTCATCCTTCCTTACTGACAGGATGATTCCAGAGAGATCTTGCAGAACTGTTCCATCATAGCCATTTCTATTGCTTAATACCCTTTCCTTTTAAATTCATTTACCAATATGGTATATTGTATCAAGAATATAACCCTTTGTTATCCTCAAACAAAGGGTAGCTTATTTCTATTTTTGCATTCTTTGATTTTGAGATTTTCATTCTTTTGATTCTGAAAGGGAGAAAATGAAACAGTTTTGCAAGCTCTATCAAAACAGTTACTGGTCAACAGAAGCTGATCCACTTTATACCTAAATGACTGCTCATGTGCCAACATAATATTTGGTATTTTCACTGCTATATCTCCAAGCATGAAGAAAATACAGAAAATAATAAATATAAAGGAATTTTACAGAAAAGAAAGAAAACAAATGATTCTTGATGCAGCCACTCCAGTATGTTGAAATTCAGCTTTCTGATGACCAGTCACCATATCATCCACATGCTGACTTACGTTGCAAGCTCTTCCAAAGTATTGTAATAATCATGCTCAACTTGAATGGAGGAATTATCCTGTGGAAACCCACTAAAAATAAAGTAAAAGCAAAAGAGGTGTAAAGCAAAAAGCCCAAGTTATCTGGAAATGGAGCAAAAGGATCATGGTGGGCAGTCATGGACCTGAAAGGGGTCGGGGGGGGGGGGCCTGCACAAAAGCAGTTTTTAAAGTATTTTTTCCTTTTTAATTTGAAGGATGGTGAACCTCAGGAAGTCAAGAAAGAGCAATTTTCAGTATATAATGAATGCCTGGACAAGGTGCAGTACTGTATGCCAAAATGGTAATTTTAAGTTTGCATAGTGCAGAATGTGGATGATTGCAGCTGGATTGTGTATGGGGCAATAATGCTGCAGTATACTATGGTAGGGTTTTGGTACAAGGCATTACTAAGAGAAAGCTGTTACACAAGGTAGTAAGGGAGGGTTGTGGTACAGGGCAGTAAGGAAGGGTTGTGGTATAGGGCAGTAAGGAAGGGTTGTGGTACAGGGCAGTAAGGGAGGGATGTGGTACAGGGTAGTAAGGGAGGGTTGTGGTACAGGGTAGTAAGGAAGGGTTGTGATACAGGGCAATGAGGGAGGGTTGTGGTACAGGGTAGTAAAGGAGGGTTGTGGTGCAGGGCAGTAAGGGAGGGTTGTGGTACAGGGCAGCAAGGGAGATATGTGGTACAGGGCAGTAAGGGAGATATGTGGTACAGGGTATTAAGGGAGAGACGTGGTACAGGGTATTAAGGGAGGGATGTGGTACAGGCCAGTAAGGGTGATATGTGGTACAGGGTATTAAGGGAGAGATGTGGTACAGGCCAGTAGGGGGGAGGTGCTCTGAAGGAGGCAGCTGACATTCCATTTCCAAATCAGGGCAATCAAAAGAATTTCCATGTAACGAAAAGCCATAAGATGATCCTTACCAAAACACTTATGTGTATGCTTAGTAACCAAGCAACAGCATGCAAAATCTAACAACAAATTTAGCCTTGGTCACAAATTCTAAATATAAATGTTCATCACAAAGTAATTTTAGGGCATTCCACAAAAAAGTGCAATTTGAGCTGTATCCGGAAGTTTCAATAATCATAAACTTTAAATCTTTAAATGAGTACAATCTCTCAAGAACAATGGCTGAAATAAGCTTCAGCAATTAAAAAAGGCACATGATCTTTGAATATGAAAGGAATTAAAATTTATTAAGTAAAAAAATTAAAATCAAACTAGATTTAACATTTCAATCGCCATTTCAAAATTCATATATTTATGAAATTTTCTATAGCAAATGAAAGTCAGAGACACCATTCAACATTTCAACCTCAATCAGTAATTGAAAATTTTCATTTTATAATCTTATTTCCCAGATTGTTTAAAAAATCTTTAATTCTTCTGCACATAAGTAATGCTCACACACAAATAATAAAATAAAACTAACATTTTTAGAAATACTTCACTTAAATTGAAAATTATGATGATAACACAAAACTAAATAGGGCTCTTAATTCTCTCATTATTCTTTTCATAAAAAGGGTGGGCAATGGTAAATTGCCCACTTATCTATCCAAACATATTTACTTCCACACTGGTATAACACTGGGCTCTTTATTTTTAGACTGTGTTTTTGGAAATCTTTTTTTTTCACATGACGGTTATCAAAAAACATCCGGAATGTGTTCTTGTATATATAACCCAATTAATCGTGATAATGTCATTCTAAAACACACACAGTTTGTTTACTCAAGACGGATTGTTTGTGTATTTAAACATCGTATGCAAAANACCAACTATAAATGTACCTAACAAAGAACAATAACAAATTTTTTCCAGTAGTTAGTTTCATAGAAGTATATTAATTTTATGAAATCAATAAGATTAACATTAGGTAGTAAATATATCCTTTACAAAAATAAAAATTATATTTCTAAATAACATTTATAGACATGACAGAACATGTTTAATCCTTGTGCCCCTACATCAGTACGTACCATGCCCTGTCTTCTAGTGTTCTATATACGTCCTCCACGGGACTAGGGACTCTGCTGAGCCGATCCGGGGGAAATCCTCTATAATTCACATGTGATACAACTTTACTTAAAGAACCTCTTTTTTTATTCAGTATTCATAGCCATTCATCCTTCCTTACTGACAGGATGATTCCAGAGAGATCTTGCAGAACTGTTCCATCATAGCCATTTCTATTGCTTAATACCCTTTCCTTATAAATTCATTTACCAATATGGTATATTGTATCAAGAATATAACCCTTTGTTATCTTCAAACAAAGGGGAGCATATTTCTATTTTTGCATTCTTTGATTTTGAGATTTTCTTTCTTTTTCTTTTGAAAGGGAGAAAATGAAACAGTTTTGCAAGCTCTATCAAAACAGTTACTGGTCAACAGAAGCTGATCCACTTTATACCTAAATGACTGCTCATGTGCCAACATAATATTTGGCATTTTCACTGCTATATCTCCAAGCATGAAGAAAATACAGAAAATAATAAATATATAGGAATTTAACAGAAAAGAAAGGAAACAAATGATTCTTGATGCAGCCACTCTAGTATGTTGAAATTCAGCTTTCTGATGACCAGTCACCATATCATCCACATGCTGACTTACGTTGCAAGCTCTTCCAAAGTATTGTAATAATCATGCTCAACTTGAATGGAGGAATTATCCTGTGGAAACCCACTAAAAATAAAGGAAAAGCAAAAGAGGTGTAAAGCAAAAAGCCCAAGTTATCTGGAAATGGAGCAAAAGGATCATGGTGGGCAGTCATGGACCTGAAAGGGGTCGGGGGGGGGGAGTGGGGGGGCCTGCACAAAAACAGTTTTTAAAGTATTTTTTCCTTTTTAATTTGAAGGATGGTGAACCTCAGGAAGTCAAGAAAGAGCAATTTTCAGTATATAATGAATGCCTGGACAAGGTGCAGTACTGTATGCCAAAATGGTAATTTTAAGTTTGCATAGTGCAGAATGTAGATGATTGCAGCTGGATAGTGTATGGGGCAATAATGCTGCAGTATACTATGGTAGGGTTTTGGTACAAGGCATTACTAAGAGAAGGCTGTTATATAAGGTAGTAAGGGAGGGTTGTGGTACAGGACAGTAAGGAAGGGTTGTGGCACAGGGGCAGTAAGGGAGGGATGTGGAACAGGGGCAGTAAGGAAGGGTTGTGGTGCAGGGCAGTAAGGAAGGGTTGTGGTACAGGGCAGTAAGGAAGGGTTGTGGTACAGGCCAGTAAGGGAGAGTTGTGGTACAGGGTAGTAAGGAAGGATTGTGGTACAGGGCAGTAAGGAAGGGTTGTGGTACAGGGCAGTAAGGGAAGGTTGTGGTACAGGGTAGTAAGGGAGGGTTGTGGTGCAGGGCAGTAAGGGAGGGTTGTGGTACAGGCCAGTAAGGGAGAGTTGTGGTACAGGCCAGTAAGGGAGAGTTGTGGTACAGGGTATTAAGGGAGGGATGTGGTACAGGCCAGTAAGGGAGATATGTGGTACAGGGTATTAAGGGAGGGATGTGGTACAGGCCAGTAAGGGAGAGCTGTTCTGAAGGAGGCAGCTGACATTCCATTTCCAAATCAGGGCAAGAATTTCCATGTAACGAAAAGTCATAAGATGATCCTTACCAAAACACTTATGTGTATGCTTAGTAACCAAGCAACAGCATGCAAAATCAAATAATCTAGCCTTGGTCATAAATTCTAAATATAAATGTTCATCGCAAAGTAATTTTAGGGCATTCCACAAAAAAAGTGCAATTTGAGCTGTATCCAGAAGTTTCAGTAATCATAAACTTTAAATCTTTAAATGAGTACAATCTCTCAAGAACAATGGCTGAAATAAGCTTCAGCAATTAAAAAAGGCACATGATCTTTGAATATGAAAGGAATTAAAATTTATTAAGTTAAAAAATTAAAATCAAACTAGATTTAACAGTTCAATCACCATTTCAAAATTCATATATTTATGAAATTTTCTATAGCAAATGAAAGTCAGAGACACCATTCAACATTTCAACCTCAATCAGTAATTGAAATTTTTCATTTTATAATCTTATTTCCCAGATTGTTTAAAAAATCTTTAGTTCTTCTGCACATAAGTAATGCTCACACACAAATAATAAAATAAAACTAACATTTTTAGAAATACTTCACTTAAATTGAAAATTATGATGATAACACAGAACTAAATAGGGCTCTTAATTCTCTCATTATTCTTTTCATAAAAAGGGTGGGCAATGGTAAATTGCCCACTTATGTATCCAAACATATTTACTTCCTCACTGGTATAACACTGGGCTCTTTATTTTTAGACTGTGTTTTTGGAAATCTTTTTTTTTCACATGACGGTTATCAAAAAACATCCGGAGTGTGTTCTTGTATATATAACCCAATTAATCGTGATAATGTCATTCTAAAACACACACAGTTTGTTTACTCAAGACGGATTGTTTGTGTATTTAAACATCGTATGCAAAAAAGAAAATGAACTTGCACCAGGAAGTAAAAAGCAGAAACAGTTACTCTCCAACCAGACCTCTCTTGTGAATATCCCGTTCCCTGTCTGTCTGTCTATCGGTTGGTCATTCTGTCCGAGTCTCTGTCTGTCTACCAGCTTGCCTTACTCTCTTTGCAATCTTGTTTTATTCATGTGGGGAAAGGAAGCCATTTAACATGGTTATATATATATATAATGTGTCTCATTTGAATTTGAATATCAAATAAACAAACAATGCTGTCACCTTTTTTTTCTTTTCTTTATGTAGATTGATATTTCATTACGGAACCTTCTCATCCAGCCTCCCATTTCTTGACGTTGCACCCATAAGAAGAACGATCATGCTTATTAGGCTCCCTATCATCGTAAAAATAACATCTTAACATGTGCTGAGGTACCAGAAAAAACAACTGTCAAAACATATAAGTTATGAGGAGTGCCTAATACGTAATATCCAAAGCAACTTCTTTAGGATCATTTCATTAAGGCTGTTATTATTCTAGGTCTGGCAAGCCCCTAACAAATCTCATGATATAAGCTACATGTATCATGAAGTACATCAAATATATGTCAAGGTATGAAAATTCACCTTTCAACTTGCCAAAAAGACCTATCTAACAACAAATTAAATGTACCTAAATTACTATAACACTCCATTTTGTTTCTCATTTGGTTATAAATTTTTAGATCAACCCAGCATCGGCCAGGAGGGTAAACATTTCCTGCATATTTCACATATCTCAAGGGCTGTGTAAAAGATTACTGCAGGTCTGCTGGGAAGAAAGTTCTTAAAAGGACAGTATATGGGACTCAACACTAAGAAAAAATACATCACTCTTTTAATAACTATAATAAAAGAAAAAAGAAAATGAAAGAAAATTGTCATACACTCAGGTGAATTTAAGTTTCAATTTGATAAAAATTCTAGAACACTGAGCATCTGAATGCAAGAACAAATAAAAACAATATATTTTCCTCCAACAAGATTATTTTACCTTGGAACATATATTATGCTCGTAGGAACACTGTACAATATACACAATTTAATAAAGAAATGATGTGTTTCATAAATTTTGATACCAAGTGACACAGACCACCCTCTTTAATGAAAAACAAATGCTACGGGATGGTGGTATACAACCACAATCATGTGATAAAAAAGTTCAATCATGTCAGGAATTTTATAAACAATTTCAACATTGGGTGGCGCAGGATAGATATTTTCATATCCTGTCTCTCTGAGACTATTATTCATATAAATCCACCCAATCAGATGATGGTGTGGTCAGACAAGGATCACTTAGGACTGACTTGAGTGGATCATTAAAAGTCATACTTTGAGTATATAATAGTTCTAATATTAAAAGGATAATAACTCTTTGTATGAGATCTATATTTCACAATAAAAACATTGTGAATAACTCATAGAAATATAATATATTCTGTTTTAGCACAAAACGGCAGTTATAGCTATTATTCTGATATCTGAGCTTGTCTTCAGACCACATGACCTCCATTAATGGCTATACTCTGTTATAATCTCTCAAGAGATTTTAACCAAAAACCAAACTTTTTAGAAAAAAAAAAAAAAAAAAACAGGGACTAACTTTGAATGTAAAAACGAATTCATTAACCATTGGTAAGTATGGGGAAATTGTTGTTAACTCCAGGAAAATTCATTTTTTGGCTAAAACGAGGAGTTATTATCCCTTTAAGGCTTTTAAATCTAGGGCACACTATTGCAATTTGCCTGTGATATAGTGAGTGTCATTATCAGTCCATTTCATCAGCTGGGTTCATTTTTTTCAAAGGACATTTGTTCATAACACATTGTAACTTGTTTTTAATAGTATCAGAAGGCAATGGGGGTTGGGGGCGGTAAGGGGCAGAGGGTAACACAGTAAGACACAATCTAATAAGAAAATAGGAAAAGTTACCCATTGATGACTTCTTGACTTGAAAATTAAAATACTTTTACAATGAGACACCTTGGGGTTATTACAGATTGTTTATAAGAAACCAACTACCTTGGTGGGTTTCCTCCACATCACAAGTGTGGATTTTTTATATCTATCCTAAGTTGTTGCCACCCCACCCTCCAAAAAAAGAATTTTTTTTTTGTCTCTTGCCACCAAACATATCTCCATTTATAAGTTACAAGTTGTCAGTGTGGATGGGGTCTTCCTGTACATCAGGAAATTGCAATGTTATTAGGCCAGTGCATCTCAGTATAATTTACCAGTATGCTTTCAAAGGCTGACATTGCTAAAATGACTACATCAAATAAATTCTTTCTTTTATCAATCTATTTGTTTTGAAGGTATCTTTCACAATGCACATGTTTGAAAATGCCCCAAAGTTGTATTTTAATCTTGCAAAGCTTCTGGATTTTCTTTACCAATTCAGATCTCACAAATGATAACACCTCTCAGATAAAAGTTTATCCAAAGCATAACTTATGTGATAATTTTCTCCTGGGCCTTGGAACCTTACAGATCCCTAGCATTAGCACCTTGCCAAATTTTCTAAAGGGGGGGGGGGGGGGGGGGGGGTCTGGCCATGTCATATATTTTTGCTAAAAGTTTCTTCTTTGGAAATGAAAATGAGATCATTTTAGATTCTGCGCGTCTTGTAAAAATTGCAGGAAGACTTACGGCAGTCTAAATTTGAAAATTCAAAATTTTATCCTGTAAAGCTTCTTGACTCTCTTTACCAATTCAGATCTTATAATTGATAACACATCTCAAATAAAAAATTTTATCCATAAGGCATCACCTGATATCATTTTATATTATAGGGGGGATGGCCCTGTTACAAAATTTTGCTATCGGTTTCTTGTTTAGAAATGAAATTGAAACCATTTCAGTTTCTGCACGTCTTGTAAAAATACCAGGAAGACTTAAAGCCGTCTAAATGTGAACATTTACAACTAAATCATTTGATTAGAAATGCTACAAACATCTTATTCAGGTGCACGGACAGGTCAATCAATGATGTGAGAGAAGAAAAAAAACTGACTTTTTTAAAAGGAAGATTCGATTTGCTGTGAAATTCCAAGACAGAATACACTGAACTTATCCATTCATTAATTGATCCATTTCTTTCCAATGCACTATTTCTTTCTTGCTCTTTTGATCTCAGTTTGGCAGTGTCTGTCCATTTCTCAGTCTGTCTCTGTCTGTCCAACAACCCCATCTATCCTTTACCAAATAGCTTTTTATTCACTAAGGCAGGGGAGCAATCTCTCTCAAGGACATTTAATGTTAGTCTTGGAATACAGTTGGACATCTTTCTTTTTTGCTCTTTCTCGCAGTATATGTAATTTATATTGCGAATGGTTACTTGAAGACTTTAACCTCAACTTTATCTATGGCATCCAATATCTGCATTTTAGGTTTCTCAGCACAGGGTATGACCCACCACTAAGATAAGATTTTCCCCTGTATTATTTTAAAGAGTTTTTATGGCTATCTGTACTACATTTATTTTATCTGATACACACAAGGTATAAACTGCATTACACCAAATACAAACCAAAGGTTACCAGCAATGAAACCACATGCAGCATAAGTAGCTATTTCATCCCTTGGGAAATATATCATCCAGTAACTAGTACCAGGAAAATAGACACTTGTACTAGTCAGGTTGTTTTCTTTCCAGGGGTATGCCTATATAACATACACTTATCATTCTAGTAGGTTTTGTCAAACTATCCTCGTGTACTCCTTGCACTAGGAAAATGCTATTTTCAGGTCATTTGCACATTGTTTTTGGATCTTTAGAATATTTTCAAAGGTGGCATAATCTTTATCTTTTATGCCAGTATTAATAAATGCTTCAAAACCAGAGTTGTTAAAATGGTTTCCAAAAACACAGACTTTTTGTAGAAAATAATAATTCCACTTGCCAATGCCCAGATATGCTAACTAGCATCTTATAAACAATAGCAGTCATCTAAGTATACTTACTCTATGCCTGATGCTAAAGCCAACTCCGACTTGGACAACTTGGACAGTGTGTTAAGAACCTGGAAAATAAAACAGAATCAACACTGTTTAAACAGTTTTAACATATAATTGTTTGAGTTCATCAAGTGTAAATACTGACATGAATTTCATGACCATGTAAAATTCATTTGTTTTGGAAAATTTCCACAGAATTATCCCCTATTTAACACTTTTCCATAACCATACTGTAATCATCTATCAAAACCAATTTACTACAAGAGAGTTTTATTATATTCTTTTCTTGAAATGTAAAAAGATGTATCATGTAATTAAATCAATGTGTTAAGATCCTGAAATTGTACTTTTACATCTTTTTTTTTTATTTCTTTTATTTTTTATTTATTTATTTATTTTTTGGGTGGGGGGGGGGGGGGTTATTGTTGAGCTATTCATTTGAAACAATGAAAACATGAATGAATCTGCATTCTGTTACTAATATGGCAATGCTCGTGCATATTCCAATTTGTTCAATTCAATTTACCGTAAATATATATAATCTACATTTTACTTGGCATATGTAGGAACATTTTTACATGGCACATGTGTGAAAATTCAACATGCCATATATACAAAAACATTTATAATCATCAAGGTATATCAATATTCAGGTACTAAAATCTCAGATTTGTGCAGGCTGTTTATTTATAAATCTGCACTGTACTTAAAAGAAGTATGGGGGGCTACATATGTGAGTGCCTTTGCATGGCGTGTGGTGAAATATTTTTTCTATATATAGAACAAATGAATGTTTTAATAGATACTCATACAGGGGGAGTGTTAAGAATGGAGATGCTTTTATCTGTGTTATCAAACTTACCACTCTCATTAACAGACAAATTATACACCATTAACAAAGTGCTTGCCTGGGTTTATTTTGCCATCAAAAACATATCAGATTCTCTAATATCGATATTCTTCCAAGTTTACATTTCCGTCATATGAAAAAATTTCTGAAGACATGTCAGTCTCCATAAAAATTACTTAAAATTAATAGATTCAATATCTATATGTTTGATAACTCAGCTGACACAGGCATTTGAAACAATTTAGATAAAAACTGTGATGTATCTTTTATAGCTCTATAGATAGAAATTGGAAATATTTACCTTAGACATTGACATAAAATGTATTTAATTTAAAATAAACATTTGAGTTTTGCTTTTCAATGACATTCCAAGCATCATTCATTCAAACTAGAACATTCTGCAAAATTCTGCTTCCTGATGCTTTATTTATAAATAACAGAGATGGGAACAAACAAACAAACACGACAAAAGGACCTTAACCCCTACCCTTCAATATACCAACTCCCCAGGTATCTTCTCTGTGTTTGAATATTTGTACAAGCTAGCAATTTCCATTTCAATATAAAAAGGATGAAAACCTTCCAAGAGACCAATATTCATTTTCCCTGTTTTAAGACTTATTCCTAGACAGCTGCCTTAAAAGCTACACTGATGGTCTGCAACAACCTATTACTGCACATTTATCACTGGGGCACAGCCCTATTAACCAGGATGCTTTTGATAAAAATAACCTATTAAACCCATCAATTCATTTCCCATCTTTGCCCTGGCCAGAAAGTAAGCAACACTAAATACAGCTTTTGATAAAAATAACCTATGAAATGCATCAATTCATTTCCCATCTTTGCCCTAGCCTTAAAGTTAGCATTACCATGAACAGTGAGGCTTTTTTTCTTTTTGTTAATATAAGACAAATAATAGTATCGTATTCGAGTTATAATCTCAGCTACATGATAATATTGATAAAAAGTATAAAATTGTTTCCATTGAAAACAACAACAATTAAATAAATGAGTTCTTAAAGCAGCTCTACAGAAGAAACAAGGTTTTCCACAGCCCTTACAATTTAGAAAGTTCTACATTCAAACCACCAGATCTGCAATTTTACAGATTTATGGCCCATTCAATAAACAGTACTTTGGAAGAAGATTCTGAATAATGAAAGAAAAGGTTTAATTTTCTAGTTACATGGGTAATTCTTTTTCCAGTGATTTATTCTCCCCCTTTTCTTCCTTTTTTTCACACATCACCTAAACCATAATAATTCATTCATTCATTATGTAGCTACATGAACATTTAAGTCATGTAAACGTTTTAACTTTCATAAATATTCCATATAGCACTGCAGTACACTTTAAAATTCTGATGCAGTTTTAAGCAAAATTGTGAACTTAACAAACCACGAATAATGTAGCATCATAATAAGCTAATCAGTATTTACAAAGACTGCACAAAAGAGGTCAAATTTTAAAGAGATTATTGTGATTTCAAAAACTAAATTGAATTCTTCTTTTTAGTTATTCCCGTTCAGTAAAGTAAAACAATTTTCATCTTTTCTATCTTATGGACACCACAATTTTGCAGATTGTTGTATGTGTACTTCAGGAAGATAACAAAAATACAATATGTTTAGCAACAATGAGCAAAATGTGTAGCAATCACAACAGAGTCAAATGGACTTTATATCTATTTTTTTCTGAAATTATAATCTTACCTTTGCAAAATCTTTGACATCAAACAAATCATAGGAGTCAAAAAGATCCGACTCTCTCAGTCCAAATTTGTTCTTGCATGTCTGCAGGAAAGTCCTAATATTCTTTAAGCATAAAAACTGGAACAAAAACAAAATTTCTCACAATATCAACAGTGAAAAAAGTCATTTTTACTAAAACGTTGTTGTGCTTAAACATATATGTGTAAAAAAATAGACAGTGTGTACATCCCCAATAGTAATTCTTATATCCCAAGTTGTAACATTATACATAAAATCTTATTACTGTGTAGTGGGGATTGGGGGGGGGGGGGAGGGACGATGATGACAAGTGATATTAGGAATGTAAAGTTTAATTGTGGAATGAGTGATTAACAGTAAAATGATATGGAAGCAAATTACTTTAACTTAAAAAAACTATAGGTGCATTTTCCCTAGCAAGTGCTTAAACTGACCCTTGCATGGACAGTGGTTAACCACTTATCACTACTGTACTACTCTTTTACTTATAATTTAGTACAACATAACATTCAACTTTTTCAGTTCCACTTTGCAGCTACATAGAAACAAGGTTTAGTCAGTCAACTTAAGCCCTACATAAGGAGAGCCATTTTCACATAAGAGTAACAACATCATTAAAGTATGTGTGGTTATCTTTGGTGAACCTTAAGAATTTGCGACGTGCAAACTTAAGAGTATGCATCTGAAACATTTTAAGGATGATCTCTTTTCTATTTTCACACATCATTTACATGTAGTAATGTGACAACAAAGTAGGGTGATTAGATTTTAAAAAGAGTCTACAGTTATCGAAAAAATGTCCGAGATTCAACCAGGAAATGGGACTTATTAAATACTTACCTGGGACATCTGTGGACGCTGACTAAAATCTTTCATGTCCACGGCTCCGGGACTCAGAGTGTTCAGAAGATGACAGAGTAAAACCCCGTCTCGAAGAGTCTGTGCTAAATCGAATATTTCGGCATTGGGGAACATCACGCGATGATCCCGGGGTAAAATCTCGCATCGTATCAGCCAGTCTGCACACAGCCTCCATAAGTCTCTCGTCGCCATTTTGTCACTGACGATCAACTTCCCGAAGACTGAACTTCCCTGATGCCTGAAAATCACGTGACAGCCTCAGACGGGCACCTGGCTCCTTATAGCAGTGATATTAAAATCACTGCTTCTTGGGCCTTTTAAACAATTTGTGAGATATGGATCTTATTCACCAACTTTCATAATTTATTATTTCAAAAGTGTAACTCGTTTGGGAAATACACATATTCGAAACTAATATCATGGTTTACAAATTAACTCCTGTTACAAAAATCTGCGGCTTCAAATTTTATATTAGCTCTGCAAGGTTTTGAACTTGTCAGTGATACCTAGATACGGCCTTCAAAGGTAGAACCATTTCACCTGGTCAAATCAAATTAACCGCATAGGGAAAGTAAATCCAACAAGTGAAATATTGCTGAGGCACTAAAAATGCTGTTCACCAATATGTAAGTATTTTAGGAGAACACTGAGACCATATGAAATCGACAGAGAAAATCCAGAAACAGCGACAGTAAGACACGCTTATGACATAACACATCAATGCTGCTCACGTCTTAACAAATTTATTAATTTCATTTCACAAGAAAGCTGACGATTTGCTTATGCATTTGCTTCACTTAAGTTGCCTGGTGTTCTGAAATTAATTATGTTAATTTTTTTTATCACATTACATGATATGAAATGTGAAAAGAATTAACCTAGACAAATTTTGAGTTTCTTAAAAAATAATAGTAATTAATCATAATAAAGAAATATGTATAAGAAATAACAAATATGACTCAAGTTCGTGCCATTTGGATTTTCTCTTAGGTGTCTCTTGCCACCACTTTTCTTTTCAAGTTATTAAAATTATTCTTGCCATTATAAATAGCAATAATAGTGGCATTTGCCTTTTTTGTTTTATTATTATTATTATTATTTTAATGCTTATTAATATAAATTTCCTTTTCTTCTTATAAGAAGATTAATAAAAAATATTTACCAGACATAGTCATTGTGCACTTATATTTACCATCTGACAATAACTTAAATAGAATAGCATTAGCAGTCTCTTGAAAATATATTTCAACATCCTAGTGAGCATGATATATTTGCATCAGACTGTGACTTACATTTAACAACTAACCAAATCATCAGGTGGTCAGTCCATCTAGGTCATTACCTAGTGAAATGTGTCAGTACGAGATTGCAACATTGGTTAGTTGCTAAGTGTAAGTTCCGGAATTTGATTTATATATATTTCTGATTCTAATCCTACTTTATGACTGAAAACAGTCACTCACATGATCTATTGGAAGAAATATTTTTGCCTTTCTTACTAAAATGGTAATCTATGTGAATATGCAATGTGAAAACTACAAAACCAGTTTCTGGTTTCTGGTATTGAAATGTATCATTTGTCAGCATATTCTCAGTATACTGCACTTGTAACTGTACTTGGGTATGGAATTTGCTAGTCACTTTATACATTAGCTGAAGAACATTTTGATTGATTGCCAGTGCATTTTAATCTAGTGCTTTCCTCCATCTCATAGATGATTCACATTTCTGTCAATTTTTATTACTGGAAGCAAAAAAGTTTGAGTGTGTTAGGTGTTACAAGTACACATCCATGATTGTGTCTCACCTAACACAATAATTTATATGAAATAAGAAATTTATTCATTGAGCTATAGTGTCCACTTATTAATTAATGAATTTATATATATTTATTTGATGTGTGATGAGAGAGAGGAAAAAGGTAAATAAAGCTGTCTGTTACATATGCTTTGCATAGGTATTACAAGGTCAAATAAAAGTTTCATAGAACTATTAGAGACTATTAGACCCCCACCCCCCAAATTGTTGCTTATGAAGCTTCATTAAGGTTATAATTTATAACAAGGCAGATACAGGGGTATGTGGTGGCTTGAAAAAAAAAAAAAAACACAAGTTATTAAATTTGTTTTCTGTCAGCTAGATATGGGTTAAGACAAGAATCATTTGCAAAGACCTGCACCCAACACCTTTATATTTTCATGAATGTTTAGTCCTTGTGCAATTGAGAATCGGTAGCTCAAGTGAACACCAGTGATTAGATTTGCTCTGATTTATGCAGTGCTTTATAACCAGTTACTAGTATGTTTCACATCATACTTGAACTTGCCTGCTTGCTTCCACATGTCCATTTGGTCCATTACCAGCACTTAGTGTGAATTATGTATAAACCATTTGCCTGAGTGTAATTTTAAGGTCAGTCACTGGGAGTTAAAGGTTGCTGATTGAAAGACTCAGCATATTGCCAGGGAGAAATATATCAAGGACCTTTTGAACCAGATGCTAAGTACCCATAATCAACTGCTGCCTTCCAGCTTTGAGGTGAATTTCTTCCTACTGGAGTTCAGCAGAAGGGGGTCCATTATTAATGATATTGCTGTGAAAGTTTATTTATTTGGAAAATAAGGTATTATACAGTGTCACTGTGTGATATTTCATGATAATTTTATAGTTTTGACAATGCATTTTCGTATATATATTTTGTTGTTATAAAATGATATTGATAGATAATTGATCCTTATATGTTGAGAATTACTCATAAGGAAGTCATATTAGATAGAATTGAGCACTTTGAAAAACACTGTCAGAGGGATATGCATCAATTAATCATCTTTAAAAAAACAACATCATTTGATTGTTGTTCTATATGAATTTCTGATGACATATGCCAACTAGTATGAGATGCATTGGTTTTGACATGTTTTGTATTGAAGGAAATTAATATAATTTGGCCAGTTCTTTGGTGCTAGTATGTTGACTGTGCTAGTATTTTACTTGCATTGCTTGCATTTGCTAGCATTCTTTTGTTAGTATATCAAGGGCATGACCGTGGCATGTTCCTGAAGGCTTAATATTAGTAGCCCTTCAGTCTTGTAAAATGAGGATCTTAGTGGTTTATTGAACAGTTATTGACCTTGAGTCAGTGGTTATTTCTTATATTAACACTGGTTTATATTATTATATATAAGGTAACGTGTAAAATAAGTCAGTTTAATTAAATTCAAAACAACTGATTCAGAAAAGTGAGACACTTGTTCTAAATTAAGTTTGCATTTTTGTAAAAGTTGCATCATAAACATTATCTAGTTAGTTATTTATAAAAAATGGACACTTGATGGATTACATTTTTGTACATTATCCAGATGGCAGCTTTGAAAAAAAAAAAAAAAAAAAAAAAAAAAAAAGAATGGAAAAACAATTGATTAAAAAGGCACTTTTAAGGAGCACAATATTATGTCTGTATTCATTCATGGGTGAATCCCAGACAACTACAGTAAGCTTAGTCATTCACCTTGAGCATATATAGGCTGGCTTGCATGGAATCAATAGACATTTGTATGGGTTCAATTCATTTTCAGTCATGATGTTATAATCATAATGGCAGTGTATGGACTCTCTCTAGGAGAGGTAGTTCTTTTTTAAGTACCAAATTGCTTAAGAATCAAACATTTTGTATTGATCAAAGGTAAGACAGTGTTTTTTTTTTGTTTGTTTGTTTGTTTGTTTGTTTGTTTGTTTGTTTGTTTTTTTTGTTACAATGAAAATTAAAGTTTAAGTGCATAGTTCATTAATAATAATCCCTAGAATAACACCTTATTTAAAAACAAAAGCAATTGACAATATTTATTTCAAGAGGACCTCAGGTGTCATTGCATAGATTCGGCAACTCTGCATGCAAAACATGTGTATTTTGCACACCCTGTACCTGGTGCCTGCCAGTAGTATGAAAATGTATTGTGCAAATATTATTGCATTGAAGAAGTGAAGTGCTGAGAGTCATTCAGTACTACTTAGGGATTTAGTAGGCAGTCGTGAAGAAGTCCAAATTGAATACAGAATAAACAGTTTGCCTGCTGTGCTACTAGTAAGTATATTTCAAAATTTTCTGCATAGCATTCTAGATTAAGTGGGTGTGTCTGACATGATGTACAATACGATGAATGTTAGAGGAAGAAACAACCTAATAGATATAATTAAGCTATTGTCATTGAAGATGAGCTAATCAATATTGAGCCAATACCACAGGTTTGGATGCTTGTTCTATTATAAAATGTAATTGAATTTGTATATTTTTACTTAAATTTTATTTTGAAAGGTTATATTTTGTGGTTGTTGGTGTGCACAACAATGACATAAGCCACAATGTGGGGATAGTTTTGTGTCATGTTGTGTGCATCACAATGGCTGGTTTCTAAACTTTGGCACACCTTCTACCTGTTGGCACATTGACTGGATATATATGTGGGTGTAGGAGTACGGCTAAATACAGTGAATTCAAAAATTCTATACACAATGTGTAACCCCACTGGCCTTTTAAGCTAAAAAAGGTTTTAGAATATAACTTGGCTGAAGCAGAAACAGTTGGTAGGGACTGTAAAAATTTACAAAAAAATTACTGGCTTGGCTTCAGTTTAACTGGTATTTACCCTGGGGCCAGTGCTAACATTGTAGACAGCACACCCTCTTCTGTACTGTACATTATGCATATGTGAGTCTGTCTATCAAAACTGAAAGCATACTGGTACTTTGCATTAAACATACTAGTACTAGCTTGTAATGATTTCAGCAAGTCTGCTAAGGGAGCAAGTTAGATATTAAAGACACAGGCAAAATACACAGAAAAATATGTTGACTGCATGTGTCCCAAGTTGTAGTGATACGTTTGTGCATTTGTTGGTGCACAATTACCATAAATCATTTCTTACATTGTTTAATCATGTTTTCCTCTGATAAGTCTGTTGTATTATACTGTACATTTTTTCTGCAGCAGTGGTGTATCTCATTACAATTTAACTTTTTATCTATCTGTCCATATTGTATGAGAGGCTAACAGTGGGCTACCCTGAGATTCAGAGGCTAAAGTGGACAGTATTGTTTACTAACTTCTCCCTTTGTCCACTGACCAGATATCTGGTCTGCTGGAACGAAGACCTCAAGGTTTTGTTGTCTGGGTGTTCATCTGGACTGGAAAATTGACACTGAACTCATGTATGAAGCAGGGTGATCAAAATGTTTTTACGCACCCTGTACCAGCTGACACACACTATTACCCCGTTCACACTACAGTTTNCTTAGATGGAACTCACTGAGTGCAATCAAATTAAAAGATTAACTGGCCTCCTCCTGGCATAGAGTAGAA